CAGGTGCCCGTTAACACCATGGGAGCGCGGATCTCGCACGCACGCACGCACGCACGCACGCACGCACACACACACACATATTTATATTTGTGATTTTGCTTAGGAAGTCCGCCCTGTAGTAGTAAAACTGCTATAGGGGCTGAGGAAAACTGGTTAAGAAGCTTCGACCCATAAAAAGGTACCTGAAATTCTTTTGAACAATGCAGTGCATACTTTGCACTGCTTTGTGTGCTGAAGTGCAGGTGAATTAGAATGTAAGCTCTAAGGAGCAGGGCCGTCTGATTCCTCCTGTATTGATTTTGTAACTGTACTGTCTGCTCTCATGTTATAAAGTGCTGCACAAACTGTTGGCGCTAAATAAATCCTGTATAATAATAATAATAATAATAATAATAATAATAATAAATGGTTGCAGTTAGATATATAGGTTTGAGTGTCATTCAAAATAAATAGCAATATACATACACAAGGCATTTCTGTACACATGCATAATCCAAATTAAAAAAAAAATTATTATAAAAATAAGGCATCTCAGAACTGCCTTTACAAAGGAACACTTATCAGTGCTTATAAAATACACCTAGAGGATTTAGAAATTATATAGGACGAAAAAATACAAAGACATACATCTTAAAGAGATGTTTACTGTATGTAAACCCAACACCTGTTTTTAAGTATGCTGGCATCATACCTCACTGATAAGTTTTCTTTGGCAAATTGTTTTTGTAAATCTGTTGCATGAACCTTCAGTTGGCCATTGGGCTGCCTATGCCAGGCCTAATAAGCAGCCCAACGGCCAACCGAAGAAGAAGAAATTATGGCAAACAAAGCTGCAGCAAATTGTAAGGCAGAAGCTTAGTGTTGTCAGCATGCACAAGGAAGTGTTAATACTGGCAGGATCTTCAGACAAGGCAACAGATCTACAAAAAGTAATTTGCTAAGAGCAGAACTCCAGTCAAAATAACAATAGCCATTTAACCACTTGCCCTCGTGAGGATTTACCCCGCTTCCTGACCAGGCCATTTTTTTCGTTACGGCACTGCGTTACTTTAAAAATTGAGCGGTCATGCAACGCTGCACTCAAATTTCCCACAAACTGAGCTTTCTTTCGGGGGTATTTGATCACCTTGCGCTATATAAAAAAAATTAAAAAGACTGACAATTTTTTGAAAAAAAAACTATATTTTTGACTTTACTATTAAACATATCCAGTAAAAAAAAAATTAAAAATAAAAAATGTCATATATTTAGGCCAAAATGTATTCTGCTACATGTCTTTGAAAAAAAAAAATCCCAATACATGTAAATAATTGGCTTACGTGAAAGTTATAGCGTTTACAAATGGAAGTACCGTATATATACTGGAATTTTTTTTACATACTTTTTTTGTTTTTTTACTAGTAATGGCGGAGATCAGCGACTTATAGCGGGATTGCAGCAGGCATTCCGACACTGGGGGAAACTAACTTGGTGTCACTGACATCTCCAGCGACACCAATACAGTGATCAGTGCTAAAAAAAAAAAAACAAACAAAAACACTGACACTGTACTAATGGCAATGAGCAGGAAGGGGTTAACATGAGGGGCAATCAAAGGGTTAACTGTGTGCTGGGACTGTTTTACTAGGGGGCCGTGTGTTTGTTCTTCACTGTAAGCACACTGCTTTGTATGGCTGTGCATGCAAAAAAGTGTGCACAAGCTGACAGGGAGAACTGTTTTGTTTACAAATAGTTCTCTTCCACGTCGGAGATCCTCAGCAATAACCAGGCAACGGTGAGTAATTACTGGCCGGGGCCTAGTGATTGACAGCCGCAAATGGCGGCACGGGTTGGGCAGATTTTGCGCACCTGTATTTCTGCTATAGGGAGAACCGGAAGCGGTTAAAGTGTACCTAAAGTTCAAACGTTTCTGTTGTAGTTCTGAATAGAATGGATGAAGATTAGAACACCTGGACATTTTTATTGATGCCTGTGCCTCCCCCCCATTAGGGAGATTAATTTTCTCTATTTTTCTGTCAACCAATATCATCAAAAGTTAAACTAAAAAGAAAATCCCAAATTTTGGGTTCACATCATAACACTAATAGAGGGGAAATCTTCCAGTGGAAACATTAGTTCTGGTGACACATAGGGACTCCCTGACTTCCTGTTTTTGGCTATGGAAATCTCCCCAATGGTATAGAGATGGCACCCCCCCCAAAAGACAATAAAAAAAACCCCAGGAGTTATAACTCTCCTTTACTCTAAAAAAAAAAAAAAAGTTTTGCCTTACAAGTTAACCTAAAACATTACATATTTTCTGAAAATAGAGACCCTGGAGAATAAAATGTTGGTAGTTTTCTATTTAATTTGTGATATTCTTTTACTTCTAGTCATGCGATTTGTGTGCAATTTCAAGTGCAATTTCTGAAGACTTGCGACTGAAGATTTTCAATGATTTCTTGTGATTTGCCTTGTGATTTCCACTATATTCTATGTACGTCAAACTCCACAAAAAGTAATACAAGAACTTCTTCAGAAATTGCATTGCAGCAAATCGCACGTTAAGACACTGACATTCACATTTATTAGGTGCGATTTCAATTCGCAAATCGCACCGGTATGACCGGGCACTTAGTCACCGTTCACACCGCTGCACTTTATGTGCATTTTCAGTGCAATTTCAGGTGCGATTTCTGAAGATTTTATTGCCACTTGTGAAGATTTTCAACAACTTCTTGCAATTTGCAGTATGATTTCCATTATATTCTACAGTCAGGTCCATAAATATTGGAACATTGACACAATTCTAACATTTTTGGCTCTATACACCACCACAATGGATTTGACATGAAATGAACAAGATGTGCTTTAACTGCAGACTGTCAGCTTTAATTTGAGGGTATTTACATCCAAATCAGGTGAACGGTGTAGGAATTACAACAGTTTGCATATGTGCCTCTCACTTGTTAAGGGACTAAAAGTAATGGGACAATTGGCTTCTCAGCTGCTCCATGGCCAGGTGTATGTTATTCCCTCATTATCCCAATTACAATGAGCAGATAAAAGGTCCAGAGTTCATTTCAAGTGTGCTATTTGCATTTGGAATCTGTTGCTGTCAACTCTCAAGATGAGATCCAAAGAGCTGTCACTATCCATGAAGCAAGCCATCATTAGGCTGAAAAAACAAAACAAACCCATCAGAGAGATAGCAAAAACTTTAGGCGTGGCCAAAACAACTGTTTGGAACATTCTTAAAAAGAAGGAACGCACCGGTGAGCTCAGCAACACCAAAAGACCCAGAAGACCACGGAAAACAACTGTGGTGGATGACCGAAGAATTCTTTCCCTGGTGAAGAAAACACCCTTCACAACAGTTGGCCAGATCAAGAACACTCTCCAGGAGGTAGGTGGATGTGTGTCAAAGTCAACAATCAAGAGAAGACTTCACCAGAGTGAATACAGAGGGTTCGCCACAAGATGAAAACCATTGGTGAGCCTCAAAAACAGGAAGGCCAGATTAGAGTTTGCCAAATGACATCTAAAAAAGCCTTCACAGTTCTGGAACAACATCCTATGGACAGATGAGACCAAGATCAACTTGTACCAGAGTGATGGGAAGAGAAGGGTATGGAGAAGGAAAGGAACTGCTCATGATCCTAAGAATACCACCTCATCAGTGAAGCATGGTGGTGGTAGTGTCATGGCGTGGGCATGTATGGCTGCCAATGGAACTGGTTCTCTTGTATTTATCGATGATGTGACTGCTGACAAAAGCAGCAGGATGAATTCTGAAGTGTTTCGGGCAATATTATCTGCTCATATTCAGCCAAATGCTTCACAACTCATTGGACGCCGCTTCACAGTGCAGATGGACAATGACCCAAAGCATACTGCAAAAGCAACCAAAGAGTTTTTTAAGGGAAAGAAGTGGAATGTTATGCAATGGCCACGTCAATCACCTGACCTGAATCCGACTGAGCATGCATTTCACTTGCTGAAGACAAAACTGAAGGCAAAATGCCCCAAGAACAAGCAGGAACTGAAGACAGTTGCAGTAGAGGCCTGGCAGAGCATCACCAGGGATGAAACCCAGCGTCTGGTGATGTCTATGCGTTCCAGACTTCAAGCTGTAATTGACTGCAAAGGATTTGCAACCAAGTATTAAAAAGTGAAAGTTTGATTTATGATTATTATTCTGTCCCATTACTTTTGGTCCCTTAACAAGTGGGAGGCACATATGCAAACTGTTGTAATTGCTACACCGTTCACCTGATTTGGATGTAAATACCCTCAAATTAAAGCTGACAGTCTGCAGTTAATGCACATCTTGTTAGTTTCATTTCAAATCCATTGTGGTGGTGTATAGAGCCAAAAATGTTAGATTTGTGTCAATGTCCCAATGTTTATGGACCTGACTGTATGTAAGTAAAATCATGACAAAAGTGCAGAAAAAGTAAAGCAAGAACTACTTTAGAAATTGTGCTGCAGGTAATCGCATAAGACACTGACATTCACATTCATTAGATGCGATTTCAGCAGCAATTTCAATTCGCAAATCACACCTGAAATTGCACCGGTGTGACCGTGCACTTACTTTCAATGATAACTATAAACAGGGGCACAGACAGCAATACAAAAACGGACAGGTTTTCTAACCCCTCTCCACTCTATCCAAAACTAAAAAAATGTTTTTGCCTGTACTTACACTTTAAAAAGAGCATAAAGTCATCAGTTTAGTGTTAACCATGAATAATAGGTCTAGAATTTTGCTCGCACACCAATGTGCGTGGTGATATGTAACGTGCAGTGCAAATTATGTTTTCATATGTACAATAGGTGCCCCGACGCAAGTATTTATGTATGTGCATGTACTTGGGGCTTAAAACTATTTCTCTTATACTTTTTTCACTGAACGTTATTTTTTTGCACATAGGGGACCAAAATTGCTCTTAACACAGCCATATTCTCACTGGCATACTGAATGTCATTACTTTTAAATTATAACCAAATTTGCCTACCTTTGTTTCATGAATGCATGAAGATTTGTCATCGTCGTTTTTAATAATTTTCTTCTGTTGGCTAAGAAGAGAAAAAAAGCCTTGTAGCAGTCAAGATTGCACCACAGCATACAGTAATAGACTCACTTGCAACTTATAAAATACAACATGCAAAGCTTCAAAACGTTGGTATAGTTGTTATGACTTGCATAATAAAAATCTACTTGCCAAATGCAATATTTAGGCATTATTTTCAGTTATCTATTGAAACTAGATTTCAGTTCCAGTTCAAAGAGGTTAGTCCAGTGGTCGGCAAGCCGCGGCTCGCGAGCCACATGCGGCTCTTTACACGCTTTAATGCGGCTCTTGTGTGCCGGGCGCCCGCTCCCCTCCCTCCTCTCGGGCGGCAGGGACTCTGCAGCGTGATCCAAAAAAAAAACAGCCAGGGCAGCGCGCTCAAATGCAATGATTGGCCAGTCTCGCTGCCACTCACATCCTGATAGCCAGTGATTGGCTGTCAGGATGTGTGTAGCCGGAGCAGCGTGACGAACGTGAGAGGAGCTAGGCTCCTCTCACAGTCCGCCCTGAAGACCGGAACGGCGCGGGAACACGGCGAGAGGAACGCGCGGAGCAAAGGTAAGTGAATTGACACAGGGAGGACTTGGCTTACTACTTGCTACTTACTTACTACTACTATATGAGGGATGAATTAATATGGGGGATGAATTACTATGGGGGATGAATTACTATAGGGGGGATGAATTAATATGGGGGATGAATTAATGGGGGATGAATTACTATGGGGGATGAATGAATTACTATATGGGGATGAATTACTATATGGGGATGAATTACTATATGGGGGATGAATTACTATATATGAGGGATGAATTACTATATGAGGGGATGAATTACTATATGAGGGATGGATGAGGGATGAATTACTATGGGGGGGATGGGATGAATTACTATAAAAACTTATTGAAACTAAAAACAGTGTACCATCCTATGTATTTTCAGTTTTAAAAATGTGGCTCTCAAAATAAATTTCAATCGTGGTTTTGGCGAGATTTGGCTCAGTTGAAAAAAAAAAGGTTGCCCACCACTGGGTTAGTCCAATAAACAGGCTTTTTTGGGCGCTGTTGGCCAGCCGACGAAAATGGCCACACACTGAATTGGCTCTTCACCACCTAGGTGTGCTACATGCTACAACAGATATCACTTTCCAGACTAGCGCCTGACACCCTACCCCCAGGCCTGCTGGCTCCCCACAGACCTGTTGGGGACATCCTGACAGCTGCAGCAGCAGGGCTTGGTCACTGGAGCTTTCCTGCTTCCAGCGCTCTCTTCTATTGGGAGGGAAAGGTGACGGCTGACCTCCCATGCTCAGTGGGAACACACTCTGCTTGTCTCCGCCTGCAGTCTTGCTACTGGTCCGGTTGTCTCCCCAGCTCGACACGGCTCTCCAGTTCTGCGGCTAAGCTCCTGGTGACTGTCCCACAACGCAGCCTGCACTGCCATTGTATGGCCAACCCTATACCATGTCTGCCTCCACGCCGGCCATTGAGTTCCTGAGTCCCCTGCTGCCACGCTGGACTGACGGCCAGCGCACACAGGCTATGTTCTCCTGCACTGTGTCCCATCTATAATATAACCTGCCACCCCCTCTACCCTCCTTATCTCTACACTAGTGGGAAGGGATAGATTCACTCACCACCATAAGGGAGCGCCCCCACTCACAAGTCAGCATCACCCTGCCCACCCATCTGTGATCCTCTGCTACAACCTGGGCCCCACCTTGGGCCCCTGTCTCTGCTTGGCCTCTGACCTGTGAGCCTGTCCAGAAGCCCCCCCCCCAATCAAGGGGAGTCAGAGTTACCGTGCCCACTGCGGGGCTGCCCTGAGGAATATACCACCACCTACCCTACCAGGTCCCACTTTCTGTCCAAGGGAGACCTTGTTGACAGGAACCGTCCCCTCCCCCCCTCCATTTTGGCAGTCCTGCTCCTAGGGTTCAGAACATTTTTTGGTTCCTGCCCGGTTAGACTCAAATGCTGGGGGGTTTGTTTCTGTGATCCCATCTGCCTTGCCACTGTCCTCCATCTAAGAGCTCGAAGACTTCCTCGGGACCATGGGGAAATATTCTTTCACTGCTCCAGCGAAATCTACCGAATCATCTGTGGGTTCCTCAAGACCTTAGCCACTCCTGCCAAAAAGCTTTCCTCCAAAATGGCTTCTCAATTTTCACCTGAACATCCACTCTCGTCCCAGGAGCCCATATCCCAATTGAACTCTTCTAATGACAGCCTCTCAAATGGTGGATCCCACTGCAGTGACTGTCAGAGATTCAGCTCTTTTTGAGTTTAAACTTCTTCTCCAACAGGAATTAAACACTGCAACGGAACAACTCACCACCAAGCTTACTCGCGAAATAAGGCTCTCGTATCGATGATCTTTAACACAAAATTGACAATGCCATCTTGCTGATTGACAACTATGAACAAGATACTGACACTATCAAACTAGACCTTACCTCCGCTGTCCAGAAACTTGAAGACTTGGAGAATCGTAGTAGCAGAGGTAACTTCCAGATCAGAGGTCTCCCTGAATCCATTGAGGACTTAAACTTTACTGTTACCACCCTACTGAAAGAACTTATCCCAGGAACACCTACTGAGAGACTGGTACTGGACAGAATCCACAGAGCTCTTGGCCCAAAGAGATCCAACGGTCCCTCTCGTGATATTATAGTCAAACCTACCTTTTATAAAACCAAAAAGGTTGTCATGCAAGCAGCCTGGTCCAAGAGAGATTTGTCTTTTCAATCACACAAATACCAAAATTGACCTAGCCCCGCAAACACACTCTTGAGACGTAAGGAACTGAAGCCATTTGTCCAAACGTTTCAAAAACATCACATCAAATATCGCTGGAATTTCCCATTCAAATTATCTTTCTCCTTCAAAGGCCAACCTTACGCCTTCAACACGCCAGAAGAAGCCCAGGAAGTCCTCACTAAGCTACAATTTATGATTCCAACCTCCTCCGGCTCACAAGCCTCCCAATCCTCTTCTCGCAAATCTCCCCACCTCACTCCTCTCTGGGAACTTCTACCTTCGAAGACAACGCCCTGTGTCAAGGCATGCCAGATCAACCTCCAGATCTTATGTCCCAAATGAAGATTGAATCGCTTTTTTTTTTTTGCTCATATTTTTTCCTTTTTTGGGCTGGTCCACCATTTTTGAACCCTGTAGATCCACCACTAGGATGTTCAAAGACAACTCCGTAGTTTTAGACATACTATTCTTTATGCATGTTAATGAATGTCCTTATATGTCCTCTTCACCTGCCTTGTATATTATTTTGTTTTTCACTTTTTTGGGCACCCACCATCATGCCTACCATACCGTTTTAGACCTTACATGCTACACCCCACTACCACTCCTCTTTTTGGCCACATTTGGGCGGTTAGTGACTCACCCACCCAAACATCAGGAGACAGTTATGCTACTCTTCTTTAATTGTTATGAATTGCAACACACACCCAGTCGGTTTAGGCAACCCCCACATATGACAGTGAGATTGACCACGGACATTGCTTGCTTAGGCAATTTCCCCTTTAGCATCCCTCCGGATGAGCATAGTATGGTGTTTTCTTTCCTTACTCCATTTCTCCATCTTGTTTTCTTTCAGTTCCCTGGATGTCGAAGCCCCTGAGCCTGGTAAATTTGAGTCAGGTTGGACCTTTTTTGTGACTGGTAGCTATTTCACCTTCTACCCGCCATGATGGCTACTTCCAAATTTAATATAGTGTCACATAAAGTACAGGGTTTCAACTCCCCTGGAAACGTGTGCCTTCACCTTTTACTCCGAACTCAGATCATTGTACTACAAGAGACCAGATTTTCTACCTCATCCCTTCCCAAATACTTCCGTAAGAACTACCCCCAGGTGTTTCAGGTGACCTTTGCAGAAAAACAGAGAGGCGTTTTAGTAGTATTTCACAAAAAACACTCCACTCATATGCTCCCTTGAGATCGCTGACCCTACGGGATGGTATCTGTTACTTCAGGGGACGTTTCTGGATGTTGAAGTGACCTTAGAAAAATCTGGATTGGTGGGCATTGGGAGCATATTAATTAACTCTCATTTACTAAGCATAATTTCCTCACACAGGAAAAGCACCCCAATCATGATGGGAGACAGTAACATGGCATTCAACAGGCAGCTAGACAGATCCCCCCCCCCGATAGCTCCCTCTCAGATTACTGCTAAGGCCACCTCACAAATGCAGCAACTTTTGGACCTTCTCACTGACCATGCTTTAGTGCACACCTAGAGGTAATTTAACCTTCGAGTGCAGGATTATACCTACTATTCGGCCCCTAACAATTGCCACAGGAGAATAGACCATTATCTCATCCCTCGAGCATTTCTTTTAGATGTCCTTAATGTCAACATTGTGTCCACATCGTGGTTTTGATCATCCGCCCCTCCTATTTACCTGTATATCATTAGCTTCAGCCCCTCAACACTACCCCTGGCACCTTAATGGCTCTCTTTTATCTTTTGATGACATGGCTGGATCAATCCGAGAGTCTATCTCCATCTACTTCGCTGATAATACTGCATCGGCTTTCACTCCCACGATTTTGTGGGAAGCTCATAAAGCTACACTTAGAGGGAAACTTATACAACTGGCATCATGTAAAAAGAGGGAGAAGGACTCATGCATATTGTCTTTATCTTCCACCCTTGCAGAGCTGGAAGCTCAATTTAAAGAGTCCCGCTCTGCTTCCTTATGCAAACAGCTGGAGGCTACCAGAGTGGAAATAAATCTCCTTCTTAAGGACTTTGGAAAAGCAGATTAGATGGTCTCGACATAAATATTATGCATGTGCCAATAAGCCAGGCCCGATGTTGGTTACTCTTCTCAAAACCCATACCCAAGACATCAAACCGGTCATGCTACGCTCAACTAAGTCATTACAGTCAATCCTTCCAGAATAGTAGCTGCTTTCATGGAATGCATTTCCTTCATGGAAGTCCACAGCTGCTTAGACTTCTTCTTCATCAATGAAAAACTGTCAAGTATTCTCTTGGATACCCATGAGAAATTCTTTAAAATATGGACTCCATGAATCCAACATACCCACCCTACTATGTCACCAGCCAGTTTTACATCGCTATAACTATTGAGATCCTGTGGCTCGGTGCTCCAGATGTCTTTCTCTGGTTCCTATCTTTTGCTCCTTCAGTTCTCTTCCCCTTTCCCCTCTTTTTTTTTTTTTTTTTTTTTGGCTCTTCTGCAGGGACGATATATGGTTTGTTCCACTAAGTTTCCTAGTTCGACTTTTTAGTTCATTTTACATACAGATACCTCTCTCACTAACACCTGCTCTCATGGCATAGGCATATGGCAACTTGTCTGTTATCCTTATTATTATTATTATTATTATAATATCGAGTTTATATAGCGCCAAAGGGTTTGCTCAGCGCTGTACAATAGAGGGGGGGACAATACATGAAACAGTACAGTAACAACAAACAGCACACAAGGGGTAAGAGGGCCCTACTCTTTCGAGCTTACAATCTAGGAGGGAGGGGGTAGTGGTACAGGAGGAAATGGCTTATCTCATTGTTATGACATGTTTACTGTACTTCTGCAATGCTAACTACTTTGACCTTTGTTACGGCTTTATAGACTTATACACAGCAGCATTCATTTCGTCATTGTTGATCTTATACTTCTACCTGTATACATGACTGTGGCTGCTATTGTATCTTTTAAAAACAAAAATTTTTCAATAAAAATCTATTGAACAGAAAACAGGCTTTTTGACTTACCTGTAAAATTATTTTCTTGAAGTACATCACAGGCCCCAGGACCGATATTCTTAAACTAGTGGGATTATGCTCTACCTTCAGGTGATTGCACACAGGTAAGCAAAGCTGATGACCTGTCCTGAACAACCACTCCCTCTTTCAGCACATCTCAGTTTTGTTAGCAAGAAATATAGTAGTGATCATAGACAAAGAGTGGAGGTCCTATGTTCTGTGATGTACTTTGAACATGTAAGCAGCAGACCAGGTGGCAGTTTTGCAGACCTGAGAAGCTGAGGACAGATGCTGAAAGGCTCCTGAAGCACCAACACTTCTAGTGGAGGAACCTTTATAGGAAACAAGGGAACTCTCCTTTTAGATAATAAACTTCAGTGCCAATTTGGTGCAGCGAAGATCACAATTAAGTCTTCCCTCACTATTGTCTGGAGCATGTAAGGCAGGAGCTTCAGAAGGGGAAGGGTATAAATCAGGTTAAACTGATCCTATTGAGTCACGAGAACATCCACTGCAAAGGCCTAAGGATACCTAGACCTGATTGCAAATCTGTTCAGTATGTTGTTGAATCTGGGATGCTAAAAGGTCTACCTTGAGTGTCCCCTACCTGACAGAGTGAGAGACCATTCTCCAGGGTCCAGATGTTGATGGATGAAAAAGTCTGCTTGCTAGTTTTCCACCCATGGAATGTGCACATTTGACAGGGCAAGAACATGGAAAGCAGACACTGGTGCCACTATGATGATTGATATTAGCAACTGCCCAACTGTACTTTGCCTTGGAAACCCTGAAGTTGAGGGGTCTAGTGCTAAAAACGACAGTCTGACTGCTGAATAAGGACGTCTCTCATTGGCAAAAGGCACATTAAATGATTTTGTTAGAGGAGGCAAGGCGTAAACACCAACTTGTAGCTTCTGAACACAATATGCTGGACTTATATATTCAGGACATTCTGGGAACAAATTGCCACAGAAGCCAGTAGTAGGGGCACCCCTGCTTGAAGTCTAGTTCCATTTACAGAAAGGGGTGCTGGATTTTTGTGTGAAACCCAAATAGGGAAGAAAATGATTCTTCTTACCCCAGCTGCAGAAAGCTTAGGCTATGTTGGCTTTGTTCTTTTCTTAAATGGAAACGTATACTTTTTCCCAAGCGATATTGTTGATAAATGTATCGAAAGCTTTGGCAAAGAGCCTTTCACCCTCAAAGGGCATTTGTTCCAGTTGTTTCTTGCAGGGGAACTCTGCCGTCCAGTACTTGAGCCACAAAATGCACCTCATGTGAACTGACAGACCCATGCAGGAAAGCTGCCGAATCTCTTAACCTATCCATGCAGAAATGTAGCACCTCTGTGAAAAATTCCTACTGCACCTGGGCCCTTAACAATACGCTTATAACAGATCAACAACGTCTGGCAAACTCCCATGATAGCAAGTATACAGTGAATATCATCCACTAGAACTGTTCGGGTCTTTTCAGGGCCTGCGCACATCTTAAATAAAAATATGTCCTGGTCTAGGAGAGACTTAGCGAGCCTCCCAAATAAATGTCATTATGAACACTTACAAGAATCACTATATTTAAGGTTAGCTACTTTTATATGACAGACACACTTTTCTTAACAAAAAGAAAAACATGTTTGAAAAGCAATAATCAAATTAAAAATCGAAAAAGTTCTACCTTGAACTTGGAGGACCAATTCTTTCAAAAGCTGCTGAAACCACATCTTCATTCTTCTTTGCTCTGTCAAAGAACTGGTTAAAGCACAAAAGCACTATACATTAAAATTAAGAAAATTAATAATGATGAAAATAAACTGGGGCACAGAATTACATGTAGAGCAGGTTACCTTTTTCTACATTTGAAGAATGAGTTTAACTTTTTAACAAAAAATAATAAATGCACATTTTTTTGCAAGTAAAAAATTGTGCATTTACTATTTTTTGTTTTAGAAAGCATTGCACCAGCGATCACCTGATTGCTGCTTCCATGCAGGTCTCCTGCAAACTGTCAGGAAGTACACTGACCGGAAGAATCAATGAACTACCACATCGCTCAACAGCGCCATCGTAGTTCATTGAGAACTACAAGCTGACAAACACAATAGCTGTCAGGACTTGTAGTTACCCATTCACAGAACTCTGTGAATGAATGATGTGGCCAGGCGGGTGGAGCTAGCAGAGGGGGGAAGGAAGATCCCCCATTAGCTGCCACAACAGGGGATCAGGGGGTGCAGGACCACTCCCACAGTAACATGTTACATGTAACACCCTGAATATGGGTGTATCATGTAACATGTTACAAAAGGTGACCGTATCCTTTAAACTTATCCTGTAATCTCTGTAAACTCTATGTGATGAGTGTGGAGCAGAACTGAATTATTTTGTGAAAATCTCTCTATAACCTGTTTGACAGGTGTTACAGCTTTTAAAACGTTAGGCTCACTCCAAAACTAAAAGAAAAAAAAAAATTGAGCCTGGAGTTAGGTAAAAGTCAACCTATGAAAATTGTTCGTAAGTACTATTTGCATCCAAGCTGGTCATGCAACAAAGTCCTAAACAAACTGCAGAAAACAATATGTTTTTTTTTAAAAAAAAAAAAAGAAAGAAAAAAAAAAAAAAAAAAAAAAAAGGGACATGTCTCATGTCATGGATCAAAAGGCTTGTTGGCATGCTCTAAATATTTTAGCAAGCATTGGTATAAAAAAAGTTATACTAGTAACAAGAATATATCCAAAAGTATCAAAAATTACCATTCACATAGGGAATAGATATCCCTATATTACAAATTGCAGGATGAGGCACATTAAAGTTGAACTCCAGGAATGTGACAAAAGCACTTTGGGCAGTGGTTGTGAGAATTTAGGTAAGTAATAATGCCCGTTTACCTTCCCCTAGAATAACAAGCATTCCAACCTTGCAGTGCTAGGGAGTATCACTACAAGGGTCATTTTGATCACATTCATAAAGTTTTGTTTTATTACCTCTTCTGAGAAAGCCACACATAAGAGATACTTCATGATTAGTCTCTATTAACTTGTGACTTCATTCTGTGTAATTGTAAGTTTGATTCCATCTAATAGTATGCTTGTGACTATGGTAATTTGGAAATATTGATAAATATATAAAAGTGACATTAAAAAGGTGAGATCAATGAAGAATGTGTTAAAAATTTTAACAAAACTGGTGCTGCGCTCCCACACTTATATAAATAATTACATCAAAAATGAGGTTCCTGATGAAGTCACGCGATTAGTGACGCAACTAGTCGGACGAGAGACGGAGACATGGTGACATCACTTCCGGGCAGAAGGGCCATCTTGATACACCCATAGGAGTACACCCAGGAGTTCCTATGAGGATCTGTGAGCATTTTTTTTCTCATAACACGTGAGTGAACATTTATAGTATTCTTTTATATCAATAAATGAAACAATATCACACGATGGAAGGATTCTTCTTCTTGCTTTATAACATCAATGAGGAAGCTGAGGTACAAATAGATCATATGAAAACCATCCGGATATCAGGAGAGGTGATACCTGTAAGTTCTGAAGGGGGATACCACCACTGTTTGTGATACCAAATCTGACGTGGAGGATTGAGCGGTTGGCTGTGCTTAATAGCAAAAAAGCGGTTTGACCCTGTGTGGTCGCTTCATGAAGGTGAGGGGGCAATCTTACTGGTGAAGGATTACACTTTTTGTTCTCCTGCCAGATTTATATTTATTGCTGGAGGTTTCTATATATCCAGCCATATTGAAGATTACGCACATGGACGATTTGTTTATTGTTTATTAATAATTGGTGGCACGTGTTTTTGTGGACTTTGTTATAAATTTAAGTTATGGATTTATCATAGAGTGTCACTGGATTGTCATTTGTGGATTCAGTCACTATTTTAATTATTTTTATTTATTTAAATTGTTTTTCTTCCTGCTATTCATATAGCAGTATAGTCCCAAGTTTAGGGACGAGAGCACGGAAATTTATACTTTGATACATGTGGGCACTTGTTGAGTGGTAGTCGCACATTTATGTTGAAGGATTTTTTATAGTCGTTGTATATTGTCTTATAGTCAGGGTCCATTTATCCTGACCATCCTATTGTTTGTTTTATAGGCGCAATAGTGCCATTTGTCAGTCTATTTCCACTGCACCTTTGGGCATTTATTTATGCCAAGTGTTTTATCATGTGTGGTTTAATACAGGTTTGTGATTTGCCCTTGTTTAGGGACACAGGTGGGTTTATGTATTGTGTTTTTATGTGTTTTGCACATTCTTATTTTAGTTCATATGGTTTATCAAACATCACTGCATAAGATTGTATAACAATATGAAGAATTGAGTTTGGGATAATTATACACAGGAGGATTCACTAGGGGTGTAATTAAAAGCTAATTTTTTATTTAATTATTTATACAAGTATAAGTGTGGGAGCGCAGCACCAATTTTGTTATAATTTTGATCCCATTTTATCCAGGTGTATAGCCAGGTGTCAGCGGCAACCCATTCCTAGAATAATAATGTATTCAGGGTAGCACAGGTGGTTCTCCATTGTTTTTTTGTATCAATGAAGAATGATCAAACATGTTATCACTCCTACTTTTCACCTCTTACCTTTTTTTAATTTAGGTGGGGAGAGGACTCAGAGATGTCCTCTATAGGTTCCAAAAAGCAGCTTAATAGCTTTCAAATTCTACTGAACTACGCACAAAAGGCAGAGAGTCATTCTGAGGGGCCAATGACTGTGTCAGAATCACACTTGTGCTACACTGAAGTACCTACAGTGAACTACACTGAACCACAGACCAGGCAAAAATAGGATTTTTTACTTACTAGTAAAGTCCATTTCTTAGAGTACAGTACAGTATAGAAATTAATAGACCATGGGTTATATGCAGCAACTTTCAGGTGATTGGACATTGGCAAAAGGTTTGCTGGAAACACCCCTAGCAATTAAAAGAAACTGAAAATGGGAAAGGGGGTGTCTGGTCTCCGATACTTCAGAAGAACAGTACTTAACTGGAATTTACTGGGAAGTTAAAATTCACATTGTGCTAATTGTACAGTACATGACACAGGACAATAAGCTTAGACAGTGGGATGTCCCCAAGCAGTAAACTGAGGGTGTTGGCAACAATAAAGCAAAAAGCAGCAAGCAAGCCCCCAAAAAAGGGTCAGTGGACCCTGAACACTCAGAAGTCAGTTTGAAGCACTTCACGGTCCAAGCTGGAATTAGCAGAGGCCTGAACATTCATCTGATAAAACTATATAAACAAGTGTGAACAGAAGACCAGGTAGTGGCCTTAAAAATCTGCAAAACAGACGTGTGATGCTGAAGAAATGCCTACAGGTTTGGTGGAAGGCCCTAATAGGGAAGAGAGGAACCTGTTCTTTGAGGGTGTAAGCACTAGAAATTAGTAGCCTGAGTTACCTAGCAATGGTGGAGGAGAAGTAGGATGTCCCTTCCTGGGACCTACAGGGAGGACAAAAAGAAACTAAATCTTTCTGAAGGAAGATGTTGCAGGTAGGTATAGCTATACCCACCCTGACCACAACCACGCAATAGAGCAAATTCTTCTTGGCGTGTTTTGGTGCAGGACATAGGAAAAGGAGAACACAATATCTGCATTGAAGGGAAAGGAAAACATTTTTTTCTACATACTTACCTGTAAAATCCATTACTTGGAGTACATCACGGGACACAGAGCAGGCCGTAATAATGACTATGTGGGTTATATGCCACCTTTAGGTGTATGGAAACTGGCCGACCAATCAAACAGGAAGTCCTCCCCCTATACAACCTCTTGTAGCAAGCAATGAAAATCCAGAAAGAGGGAAGGGACCTCTGTGTCCCTATGCCAAGAAATGGATTTTACAGGTAAATATGTAGAAAGAAATCCAATTTCTTTCTCGTACATCACAGGACACAGAGCAGGTCATAATAATGACTATGTGGGATGTCCCAAAGCAATAACCTTGAGGGGTGGGCGACATCACAATAACCACTGCCCACTTCCCAAAAAGGAGCTATTCAGCTGTACGTAAAACACTGCCAAAAGGCAGAATCCTCCGTGGCTCTGACATCCACCTGGTAAAACCTTGTGAATGTATGAACCGAAGACCATGTTGCAGCCTTGCAAACCTGAGCAACTGATGCCTGGTGGCGGATAGCCCAAGATGCCCCCACACTCCTGGTAGAGTGTGCTTTCACCGAAAAGGGTGGAACCTTGCTCTTCAAACCATAGGCTTGAACGATTAACTGACGAATCCACTTAGAAATAAATGATTTGGATGCTGCTTGTCCTCTCCTGGAACCTTCTGGCAAAATAAACAAGGAATCAGTCTTTCTAATCTGCGCCATCATTCTCAAAAAGACCCTTATTGCACGAACTAGAACCAGGGCATGCAAGGATCTTTCTTTTGCAGATTGAGGCCTAGGAAAGAATGAAGGCAGAACAATGTCCTGATTGAGATGAAAACTAGAACCCACCTTTAGCAAAAAGGACAGATGAGGCCGTAACACTACCTACCTTATCCTAATGTAAAACCAAAAATTGTTCCCTACAAGAAAGAGCAGCCAACACCGATGCCCTTCTTGCAGAGGCGATTGCCTCCAAAAACAGAACCTTTCGACTTAGCAGAACTAACGGAGTCTCCCTGATAGGTTCAAATGGTGGTTTCTGTAAAACTGCCAAGACCAAGTTGAAGTCCCAAGGACACAGGGGCTGTCTGAAAGGAGGAACAGTACGC